CTTCCTGGTCTGCAGACCAGGGAGACGCGGAGCAGCTTTTCTCGCCCCGGAGTACACGGGCGGCGGGACCGCGAGGTCCTGCAGTCTGTGTCCTCCGGGGCGAGAAAAGCCCCATTCGTACCTGCAAGTCGGGGACTGCCTGTATACCCGGTGTATAAGACGAGTCCCGATTTTTGGGGGATGTTTTTTAGCATAAAAAGTCGTCTTATACGCCGGAAAATACGGTAGCTGTGTTAGTCTGGTGTAGATGAAACAAAAAACAGGACTATGTAGCACTTTAAAGACTAACAAGATGGTTTATTAGGTGATGAGCTTATTTGATCTGAGGAAGTGGGTCTGGCCCACGAAATCTCATCACCTAATAAACCATCTTGTTAGTCTTTAAAATGCTACATAGTCCTGTTTTTTGTAAAAGGAAACATGTCATTCAAAACGAGTGAACCAATCAAAGCATCTTACAGAAAATGTGCATTTTGCTGATTTGTGGCTCATAAGATATTAACTTAATGAAGAGCACAGACATTACCAATATCTTACTGTGTGCAACATGCATGTTCATGTGCATAGGCAAACATGTGCGATGGTGAACTCCTTTATTTGACACTGTGTTTAGACATATGGATTGATAGGGTGTTTAGATGTCCTATATCAGTCCATATGCTAAACAAAGGGCAATAGAAAAAGGGAATCAGTGAGGGCCAATAAATAGGCACTGTACTGAACTCCAGAGATTCAGATTCTATTTCCAGTTCTGCCTCTGACCTTGGCACGTCATTTTACCTCTCCATTCTCCCTTCCCGTTTTTAGCATACTGCCTAAAACAATGAGGTCCCATCTCAGTTGGGGCTTCTGAGTGTTACTGTAATAAATAATAATAATAAAATAATAATAATAATAATAATAATGAAAAATATTACTTCACAAACCCCTAGTGGCCTAATTTGTACTTCCATAGGTGTTATGTATCCTTCTGAGAACAAAATTTGATTACATCTGAAAAAGGAAACATTTAATCAAATTACAACAAAAATATTACAAATTCCTGGATATTTCAGCTGATTGTCATTTGGGAAGGAGAATACTACATACAACAGAAATTCTATATTATAATGAATATGATGGTAAATGGATGGCTGAGAAGAATGACAGTCACCAGCTAATGTAAGAAATGCAGGCTACGTCTAGACTGGCCCCTAATTCCGGAAAAGTCATGCAAAGCATTTCAAGTAGGAATAAGAGATCCTCCGGAAAAGGGCTTTATTCCAGAGGATCGCACCAGTCTAGACGCTTTTTTCCGGCTTTTCCCCAAGCCGGAAAAAAAGCGGCGGACATGTTTATTTAATCCCGCGGGGGATATTTAAATCCCCCGCGGATTTCCCTATTCTGACTTACCTGCTTTGCATGACTTTTCCGGAATTAGGGGCCAGTCTAGATGTAGCCCCTGTGTCTACTATACCACATCAATCTAGCTACACTGACATAGCTACACTGACCTCTTGTGGAGGTGCAGTTATGATGTTGGTGTAGTATAGCACTTGTCTCAGCAGGACAAAGGCTGTAGCATGCACACTGACATATGAAGGGTGAGGTAAGCTGTCTTGTTTCAATCTAACTCTGCAGTGGAGACCAAGCCCTAGTCCTTTGATCTTGCTTAGTAGACTGCACATTGTGAATGGGTATCCTAGGCGTGAAAAAGTCCCTGCCCATGACCACCTCTAGGTTCCCTTCTGCCTGCTATTTCCAGGCCAGAGGCTGGGCAGACAAGCTGGGGGCTGTGGTATGTCCATGCATGTGGACCAAGCTGCCCATCTTCCCAATGCTGGGGCTGCTCTGGCCATGCTATCTATCCAGTACTGGGCCGTGGCTCAGCAAGAGGGCCTTCAGTGGTGGGGAAAGGGGAGCATGCCAACTGAGGTCAGGCCAGGTGGCACTGCCCAGCTCTTCAGCACTTCAGGGCCAGAGGAGGCTGGGGCCATGCTGCCTGGCCACCTGGTGCTCCACAGCTAGCTGGGGCTGAGGCCATGCTGATCAATGCTTCAAGGTTTGGGGGCACTAGCCTGAGACAGAGGCCATAGACCACCTGGATAGGGGAGCTGGGGCACTGGACAGGGTGTTAAAAACCATAGTAAGGGTTGGGCTCTGGTGGGTGTGGAAAGAGCAGGGCCGCTGGTGGACAGGGCCGGGTTGGCAGTTAGCCTCCTCAAGCCAGGGGTTCACCAACCACCTGTGAGACTCCACCTACATTTTTAAAAAGAGTGATCACATTAAAAATAACTTTTCAAGCATCACTTTAAAATTGTCATTCTAAACTCTGAACTAGAAGCCAAATCCTTTAACATGATTCAACTTTTCAGTCAATTAACCTGATCACCATCATCACCCAGGCTAGGTAATGGGCCATGGAAAGCTGCTTGAATGCTGGAGAGTCTTCCATCTGTGATTAATTTATTTTGCTTTTAAAAGGGAGAATGAATCCATCATATAAAACATGGGAGGAATTCTGTCATATTTTTAAATTTGGATTATCTTTTCTATTCATCTATCAGGCTTCCTGCTACTGCAATGCTTCTCAGTCTCCTTTAGTTCTGATTTTTAACACTGTCAACTTCATTTTTTAAAAGCATCCTTTAGATTAACATAAATAAAATTCTAAGATGATCATACATCACAGTGCTATGTAAGAATTTGTATGATACAGAAGTAGGTATTTTATTATATACTATGTGGGAAAGGAAAGGCAAACAGAGAACTGATGGGCAGGATCCCCTGGGATGCTAACATGAAGGGGAAAGGAGTCCAGGAGAGCTGCCTGTATTTTAAAGAAGCCTTATTGAAAGCACAGGAACAATTCATCCCGATGCACAGTAAGAAAAGCAAATATGGTAGGTGACCAGATTGGCTTACCAGGGAAATCCTTGGCAAGCTTAAACACAAAAAGGAAGATTGTAAGAAGTGGAAACTTGGACAGATGACTCAGGAGGAGTATAAATATGTTGCTCAAGAATGCAGGGGAGTAATCAGGAACACAAAAACACATTTGGAATTGCAGCTAGCAAGGGAAATGAAGGGTAACAAGAAAGGTTTCTACAGGCATGTTAGCAATAAGAGGGTGATCAGGAAGGATGTGGGGCCTTTACTGGATGAGGGAGGTAACCTAGTGACAGGTGATGTTGGAAGAGCTGAACTATTCAATGCTTTTTTGCCTCTGTCTTCACATACAAGGTCAGCTCCCAGACTACTACACTAGGTAATGAAGTATGGGAAGGAAGTGGGCTGCCCTCAATGGAGAAAGAATGGGTTAAGAACTATTTAGAAAAGCTAAACATGCACAAATCCACGGGTCTGGATTTAATGCATCCAAAGGTACTGAGGGAGTTGGTAAATGTCATTGCAGAGCCTTTGGCCATCATTTTTGAATACTCATGGAGATTGAGAGAGGTCCCGGATGATTGGAAAAAGGCAAATGTAGTGCCCATCTTTAAAAAAGGGAAAAAGGACAATCCAGGAAACTACAAACCAGTCAGCCTTAACTCAGTCCCCGGAAAAATAATGGAAGGGATCCTCAAGGAATCCATTTTGAAGCACTTAGAAGAGGGGAAAGTGATCAGGAATAATCAACATGGATTTGCCAAGGGCAATTCATGCCTGACCAATCTGATTAGCTTCTATGATGAGGCAACTGGCTATGTGGACATGGGGAAGTAGGTGGATGTGATATACCTTGAATTTAGCAAAGCTTTTGATATGGTCTCCCATAATATTCTTGCCAGAAAGTTAAGAAAGTATGGATTGGATAAAAGGACTGTAAGGTGGATAGAAAGCTGGCTAGACTGTCGGGCCCAACGGGTAGTGATCAACTGCTTGATGTCTGGCTGGTGGGTGGTTTCAAGTAGAGTGCCCCAAGGATCGGTTCTAGGGAAAGTTTTGTTCAACATCTTTATTAATGACCTGGATGAGGGGATGGATTGCACCCTCAGCAAATCTGAGGATGACACTAAGCTAGGGGGAGAGGCAGATACATTGGAGTGCATGAATAAGGTCCAGAGTGACCTAGACAAATTAGAGGATTGAGCCAAAAGAAATCTGATGTGGTTCAACAAGGACAAGTGCAGCATCCTGCACTTGGGATGGAAGAATCCCAAGCATTATTACAGGCTGGGGATGGACTAGCTAAGTAGCAGTTCAGCAGAAAAAGACCTGGGGATTACAGTGGATGAGAAGCTGGATATGGGTATCACTGTACCCTTGTAGCCAAGAAGGCTATTAGGGTGCATTAGGAGGTGCATTTCCAGAAGATCTAGAGAAGCTGTTATTCCCCTTTATTCGGCACTGGTGAGGCTACATATGGATTACTGCATCCAGTTCTGCTCCTCCCCCCCCACTACAGAAAGGATGTGGATGCATTGGAGAGGGTCCAGCGGAGGGCAGTCAAAATGATTAGGGGGCTGGAACAGATGACCTATGAGGAGAGGCTGAAGGATTTGGGCTTATTTAGTTTGCAGAAGAGAAGAGTGAAGGGGGATTTGATAGAAGCCTTCAGCTTGCTGAAGGGAGGTTCCAAAGAGGATGGAAAGAGGCTGTTCTCAGTAGTGATGGATGGCAGAAAAAGAAGCAGTGGTCTCAAGTTACAGTGGAGGATGTCTAGGTTGGATATTAGGAAAAACTATTTCACTTGGAGGGTGGAAAGTATTGGAATGGGTTATCTAGGGAGGTGGTGGAATCTCATCTCTAGAGGTTTTTAAGTCCTGGCTTGACAAAGTCCTGGCTGGGATGATTTAGTTAGATTCGGTCCTGCTTTGATCAGGGGGACTGGACTCGATGACCTCCTGACGTCTCTTCCAGCACTAGATTCTAAGATTCAATTATTTTACCACTTAGCAAGAAGAACTTACTTAAAACATATTACTTTAAAATGGGCAGCACACTCCTATTTTTCTATCAGTTAGATCCCTAGTTTATATAACTTGCATATCACAAATAAGGCAATACCTATTGAATTCACAGAAATGAGCACCTTTAAAAATGTTGCCTTGGTCTCCTCACTTGCTAATCATTTGGATCTATTTATATCACAGTGTCTACATCCTTTCTTTATTCCACTTCAAATTATCTATTCACTTTCTTGCTATAGTATAATCAGCTGGTTCACTGCCTCTCTAACATATGCCCTTTTGTAGACATATAGCAATCACCTGCTTTGTTTCCTGACTATTTCATCTCTCTTCTTTCCTAATCCACTATAACAACATCTGTCTCCCTCATTGTCTCTGAGGCATCATAGGACCAAAAGATAGAGGTATTTTTCTGATTTTTTATTCTGAAAATAAACCCACTACTCATTATTTGCCTTTGCATTAAAATTGGTAAGTTTGACAGAAACAACTATGTTTATTGATCATCAGCATTTACTAATATGTGAGGCACCATTTTCCCTTCAAGAGATTAAAGTCAGTAATTAGTGATGCTTGAACTGTTAATATTTGAAGTAAATAAAACTGCGATTACCTCCGAATTAAAATCCAGACCTTCTTAACTCATTCATGAGTATGGACTGGTCACATTTTCCTTTTTTCTAGCCCTGTAACTCTGATTCTACAGGGATTTAGTATTGTTTCTGTTAGCTATTTGCATCATTGTGATATCTTTACCTGTAACAGGGACTTTTCAATTTCATTCTGTTCTGTCATCTGCAGGGGTATTTTCTGCCTGTGTATCTGTGATGTGTCAGTTGGTCACATATTTGCCTCCATAAATAGGCTTTTAACTCCTTCATTATTTCTAGTACAAAGATCCCTGGATTTCTGCCTCTCATGAGTTTGTTGTGGAGCAGAGGTAGTTCTTTCCATTATAATACCCATTTAAAACCCTTCTAGCCGCCCTGTCTCTCCCAATGAACCAATTCCCCTGACTACTGCATCTACTTGCTGCATCTCATCATGGGGGAGAAGCTTTTCTGTGAAGCTTGGAACATTTTGGAAATATAGTGTTTAAAAATTGTTTTGCCTTTGAGACAGGAATAAAAGTAAAGAGGAAAGAGTCCAGAAAAGGATTTTATAAGAGGCACAGAGAGGAGAAAATGGGATGAGGAGGATTATAGACCAGGAGTATATGGAGATATGATCTCAGAATGTGGAGCTCTTGCACTGTTCCAAAAAGCCTTTCTGTTCTGTTTCAGTGACCTTATTGTGGAGAAATGACCTTAAATATTTTTTAGGGAACCAGTGTGCAAGGACCCAAGCTGAAGATTTCTTCAGAACACAGTTTAAAATACAAACAAGGTACACATTCATCAGAGAGAAGCTGACCTGCTTCTGTCTGGAGGCTTTGTTGCAGCAGTTGCTAGCTGGAAGGCTATGAGACAGGAATAAAAGTAAAGAGGAAAGAGTCCAGAAAAGGATATTATAAGAGGCACAGAGAGGAGAAAATGGGATGAGGAGGTTTATAGACCAGGAGTATATGGAGATATGATTTCAGAATGTGGAGCTCTTGCAGTAGGAGGGGTACAGACAAAGAAGTAGGATGGTAGATAATAGAATTTGAAATGAAGGGTAGGCAGGGGCCCTGGGTTATAGAAGCAGCCTTAGTTTCCCTTCCAGAAGACACCATTCACTTTTCTTACCAGCTGCAGAGCTTCATTTGCACGGGCCTTGGCCTCCCTGGCGACTCTCTCTGCTTCATCAATATAGTCCTTGATATTGCTATAGGCCTTGAAAGCTACAGTAGCATTGAATGAGAGGTTTTTAGCTTCAGCAAGGATTCTGTTAGGGTGAAAAAGATACAGCACATCATTAAAAACTGCTGTTGTGACTCAACAAAACAAAATGGATTGGTACTTGGAGCCAAACAGCTCAGATTTCTTATGATTGGTGCCAGTACATAATGCCATACTTGAGGTTTCTGGAGCACAGATGCTAAGTGTTTAAGAGGAGGGGTGTCAAATATTATTTTTATAGTGTCACATAGAAAAATAATAGGGTTTTACACTGTGCGTTAATGAGATCTTCGACGGTGAGAAAAGGAGAGGTTCAATCATTAGCATATGATGCATTAGCCTATGATGCCAGAAGCCCATGTTCATTTCCTTGCTCCACCACAGACTGCCTGGGTGATCTTAGACAAGTCATAGTACAGCTCCACTTCAAGCTCAAGATTCAATTTTCATCTTGAGAAGAAGTACCCATGCTAACTCACTAAAATTTGTGATGCAGCAGAATGAAGGGCTAACTGCCAGAGTATATATTCAGGGTAATTAGCTCCTGCTGCAGGTCTTCTGCTATTTCTAGCATGTTAGTTTGATCAGAGATACTATAGTTATGTCTTCTTGGTTCACAAAATACACCTTCCGCTCTGAGGCTGTGTCTAGATTACATCCCTCTTTGGACAGAGGGATGTAAATTAGGCACTTTGAAATTGCAAATGAAGCCGGGATTTGAATTTCCCATGCTTCATTTGCATAATCACGTAATGACCCTCTTTCGAAAAAGTGCTATTTTGAAAGTAAAATCGTAGCTCTTTCAAAAAGGGAAGGCTTTTTCGAAAGATCCTCAAAAAATGAGGTTTATAGGACCTTTCAAAAAAGCCTTCCCTTTTCGAAAGAACCGCGTCTAGACTGCAGTTTTACTTTTGAAATAGCGCTTTTTCGAAAGAGCGCCATTTTGTGATTAAGTTGTAACAATTTGTACTTTGTAAAGGAGATGCTATAAGTTCTTTTCTCCTATGCTGTAATGGCCACAGGAACTTACTCGGCAATACTGTTTTGTGGCGATCTGCCTCTCCACAGTCTGTCGCCCCTCACATCAGTTTGTATGACTCTTTCCAAATGACATGAAGGAGCTCAACAATTGGTTTTAAACAAAAATCTACCAAAGCTTTCGGGGACAGGTTTTAGATACATTCACTTTGCTTTGAAAGTGATGTTTAAATTGCTTCCTTTACCCGAGAGTCAGCAAGTGCACACTCTTAAAGGCTGCCAATTTCAAACATAAAAAGATAAACAAAAAGGGTCTGCTTCTCCTTGCCTGTTGCAGTGTCATTTTCAATGGTGGAGAAGTGACTGTAAAAGATGCTATTAAATTACAAGAGTAGCATCTTATACCACTTTGTGTTCACTTTGCCCAGGTGTACATGACAACACAAGGTAGAAGACTGAAAAAAAATTGAATATGTCAGTATTTTCCATCTACTGGTTCATTTTCAGAAATACTTGGAACTAATTATCTTGGATATAGCCGAAGCCATGTACCATATCTTCATAATCCTCCATATCTAATTCAGACTTTTGATGCTCCTCCAAAGAGAAGAATATAGCCTCTCCCAATTGGAGAGCATTGGAGCAACTGTATAGGGCAATGGAGTCTAATAAACTCATAATTACAGACTTAAAGTCTGAAAATTATCTCCTATTTCTCTCACGGAATTCTAGATACTAGACTATGACAGCTTTAGAAGTGTCAAAAAATGTTTGTCCTACCCATCCAGTATTGCAGATGATTCATTCAGTTGGGATGCATGGTTTTCAGCCTGCAACACCTTTTCTGGAAGCATCCTATCCTGAATATCTTGAGATAGATCATCTATTTTATCCTTCAGCTGATCAGCAATTGGTTGTATCCGATCCCCCGTATCTTCTACATACTGAAAGCCACAAAACAAGAATATTTAAACAGCTGCATGCAAACATCACAGTCCTTTTGCATATTGTTTCTGTATGAGATATAATCACATATGCTTGGACATTTAATAAAACTTCAGTGAACCACTATGGAAAAACAAATTGGAGACAATTAGACTATTTTGAAAGCTACTGTTCCATTGAAGACTTGACTGTTTTGAACTTGCCTTGTTTCTTAATGATGTATGAGAAAAGATAAAAATGCATTTTACACACGCCTCCACACATGCACTCTTGCGGAGATCTTTTCTAAATTATGGATGTAGAAATATTTATGCTATGCTGTGGTGATATTTCTGAAATACACTGCCAAGCTGTTCCATTTATCATGCACCTTTCACTGACTCACCTGCACTTTTGGTTATTAAACCATGTCACCAAGGGTTACACTTTTAAAATGGCCACCACTTTCGTCACAAAGAAACTGACTCCAAAGGATTTCTTATTCCTCCCAACCTAAATATGGACTTTCCTCCAAAATTGCTGCCTCGATAAACTTATCCTCAAAAACAAAACAAAAAGAAAAATGCTCACCTCTACAGCTAAATTGATTTCATTTGCAAGATGGCTGGCTTCATCCAAGATGTCATTCCCTTCTTTCAGAATTTTTTCCATCTCTTGTCTGTTACTTTCTACAGCTTGCTTCCTTTTCTATAGGTTGAATACCCACAATGATAGAAATTAATTAAGTAAAGGTATTGCAGGAGTACCCAGGTATTCTAACACCTCTGCATTTTTTCTGCCTCCTCCACCTTCAGTGATATTATGGTGAACAATAAAAATATGGAATGTCTCAATGGCAAAGATAGTCAAAAGTCATTTTTATATTGCCCCATGACAACAGTGCCTGACTGTAACATTACAGCAGAATGGGTTAAAAAAAGTCAGAAATCCCCTCTTCCTCTACTTTTTGATAATGTTATTTTCCCCAACTATGGCAATGAATTAGCCCAAACCAAAATGTTGTAAAGATTCTTTATTTTAATTCTTGATCCCATATTTAATAAAAATTTTCAGTTTGTGGGGTTTTGGTTTTTGACACCATTGTCTTATTGGATTATGATGTGAGAAATGTAAGTTTTGCAAACCTTGGAACCTTCACTTTTCCAATTAGTGAATACTGTGCATATTGAACAAGAGAGATGGCACCCTCTTTGTCTCTAGTTCAAAGTACTAGCAGCATCATGAACAGAGTCATTAAGCATCACAGAATAGATTGACAGTAGGCCATGCAATTGCATCACTGAGGCAAATGGGAAAGTGCTATGATGGCCACTAATTAAGTGAAAGGCAAAAAAGATGGAAATCTCAGAGTGATGAAGAGAGCAAAACCACAGGTTGAAGAGATTCCTCACAGTATTCAGAGAATTAATTATTAATCATTATTATTATTTATTTATTCATAGAGTCTATAGTATTAAGGATGGCATAAGAACCTAGATAAAAGACAATTGCTCCATCTTTCATGCTCTAACCACACCAGAAAGAAATATAGAACAGCCGATGTTTTCTTACTTTACAATGCTGTATCTCTTTGTAAATCAATCAAATCCACAAACCTCAGATGAAAATTCAGGTTTTGGAACTCTAACCTCATCACCATATATTAGGCAAAAGCTCATCAAGAGCAACCAGAGTTTGAAACATTTATCTTCATTTAGGTTTGACTCTGCTCTTTCTGTCTCGGATAAATGCTTGTTAATGAAAAGTATAATGTGCTTTTTCTAGTCTTTGCAGTTAAAATTAGATCAAAAGCAGATTCCTCTGCTACCAGGTAGATCATTTATAACAACTACTAAATACCAAAGATATACTTTGATTTAATACTCTTTAATGCCTATACACCCAGTTCATTTCTTTCTAGAGGTGGGGTATGAAGGAGAAAATGCAGGGCTGCAAGATGCAAATAGAGGATAGTGAAGACTGTAATTGGCCTCTTATTAAAATCCTTAATCAATAGTTTAAATTTTGCATAGGGACTTTCACATGTCTTTGCACTGGGATGAATTTCTCCCCATGTGCACTATTGGGATCTCTCTCTCTCTCTCTCTCTGCAGGTTGTAAAAACGTTCATGTGAACCAAAGAGGGCCAGAGTTCTAGATTTTGGTCTGACCCTCAGAGTGGTTGTAAATTAAGGGAATCTGCTCATCAGCACTCACCTCTATCACTGTCATGTTTCTTTGGTTGATTGCAGATAAGCGATTGGCTTCCCTAATTTTACTGCTGGCTTCTCTCAGCAGATCTCGAGCATCATCAGCCTTGTTTTTGTAATCTGTCATTTTATCCCTGACCTCATTCTTCAGCTCCTCGTTTTTCTTGGTGGGATCTCCAAATAATTTCTTCACTTTGTTCAAAAGGGCTTCAGCACTTCTGCAGTTCCCCCCCAAGACACATGAAAAACAGGCATTGAATCCATCTTCATCACAACCAGTAATCTCACCATTTTTAATTGCTTACTGCTGAAATATTCATTTTACATAAAAGTGTAAAACAACTCTAGGGAGAGCACACACTTACTAAAGCAAAAAGAAAAGCTCATATTAGGCTTTTGCCTTTTGGATTGTAAATTTACCCTGAGTCCTTATTTAGAAAATGGTCTTCACTGAAGTCCTTTTTTATATTGCCATTTTTGCTATCTGACTGGTGAGTTTTTGTGAATCACTACACTCGTCAAAAAATCCCCTCATTCACATTAATTTGACACTTGTCACAAAGTGGTCCATTACCTTGAATGGAGGGGACAGAATGTTGAAATGCCTGATCTGAAGTTTTCTCAAAGCAAAGCTTCAGACAAGCTGTGAGAGTCTGAAATAATTAATGTTGTTCCCTTTTTCTATGTTACAATCAGCTTCTAGAGCGTTAGACACTTTTTTAAATGAAAGCTGAAATTCTCACAGTCTCATGATCCCAGGAGCTGGAGCTTTAAGAAAAATATCAACCACCACAAGATGCTTCATAAAATCATGAGAGTGGACAAACTTCATGTGTAGTTGCTGATGCTGCACTGTGCTCTCCTCCACAGAAATCAGGACAAGTGATACAGGAAGTGTGGCTATGCCAAAGAGATATTTCAACTACATCTTGTATAGCTGCAAGTTCCACTTCAGAGACACAATGCTAACCCATATCTCTTTGGTCAGAGCCATCCTGCCACCCATGGGTAAGTTGCCATGAACTCCGTCATCCCTAGAAGGGTCAGCCAACTGAAACTGGATATCATCATCACCAATGGGACACGAAGAAGATCATCATGGTTGATGTCACAATACCTTTGAGCCCAGGACCACAGCCTGAGAACTAGAGTTACCACATTCAAACTCACATGCTGATCACTGGAGCCCTGGGCAAATGGAACCCCAGTCATGAGTGAACACTGAGAGAATGTGGAATCAGACAATGCTATCTTTGGCTTTTGCGACAGCTCATGGTTTTGGACACCATCCAGTGGTCAAAGGACATCTACTTAGAAGACATTACTGGACATCAGCAATACCAGGAGGGATGAGCTGGTGAGCTGAAGAAAAAGGCAGTTGGGAAAATAAATCAAATGCTTTCTTGATGGGCTGTATTTTGTAACAGACAGTACACCTTAAATTCTCAATTACTGAGGGTCAGTCTTCATTCACTGAGGTATCTGTTTCCACAATCAACTCTCTTTGTAACTTTTCATGAGTAATGTACCCAAATAACTATTATCTAAACTATGTTGTTAATTTACTTGCTTAAATTTGAGTTATTGCTGATTTTGTACTATATGTATCATATGTCTTTTAAAACAAACTTTGTATTTGTGTAGTCTCAGAGGGGTAACCATGTTAGTCTGTATCTGCAAAAACAAGGAGTCCTGTGGCACCTTAGAGGTTAACAGATTTATTAGGACATAAGTTTTTGTGGGTAAAAACCACTTCACTAGATGAATTGGAGTGGAGTTTTCCGAGACATAAGGGTATGTGTGTGTGTGTGTGTGTGTATTACACATATGGACACTGCCTCCACACTTCTGTAAATTCCATTGTTGGCTTTGCACAGAACACATATCCATTGTCTTTACAGAGACCTTTGGTATACACTAACAGGTTGGGGCAGGCTTAACATAATGTATCTGCTGTAATATGTGCCCTTGTAACTTTTCATTGCAGCTCGGACTGCACCCAGCTTGCTGCGTATCTCCCTTCTTCCAGCATCTGCCTGCCTGGCTCAAATCCACAGAAGAAAACATAAAAGGAAGGACACATTTAGGGAGCAGATAGACTACATAAACTCCCTCTTGAAGGAGATGCGGGCAGAGCTGCAGGACCAGCTTGTCAGGAGAGGAGACCAAAACTCTCTTTGCCTCCCTGACAGTTGTGATGGAGTTCCTGGTTGCATGTCTAGAGAGGGACTTCTCCCAGAACCCTGTCTGCCCCAATAACAACACAAGTCCCTCCTCCTCCAGGCCCTTTGCTCCCACTCCCAGGGTCACCAGAATCCACTGGTTTACAGGGAGGTAATTCAAGGGCAGCCTTATCCTCCAGTATCTCGTGAGGTAAAAGGTGGTCCCACATGAGTTTCTGAGCCTCTTCCCCACGTCTTTCATTTCCCAGCTGTTTTCCCCAAATAAAAACTCATGTTTTTTGAACAACAGTCTCTTTATTGCTTGAACTGCATGGCTGGGGTGGGGAATTAAAGGCACACACAGGAATGCAGGGGCAACTTGTTGAGAGCAACAAGGAAGACTTTCAAAACTGGCCATTCATAAAACTATCATTCAAATCCTCTCTGATTTACGCTTCCCCACTCCCTGCTCTCCTTATTGCCCTGGTGTCCAGCTGATCAAACTCTCTGTCTAGGAGCTCTGTCTCAGCATCCCACCCTGCCAGATAAGATCCCCCCTGCTCTTGCAAAGATTATGGAGCACACAACATGCTGCCAGCAAAAAGGGAATGTTGCATTAGCTGAGGTGCAAGTGAGTCAGGAGACTCCTAAACCTACCTTTTAAATGTCCAAAAAGCATATTCAACAACCATGCTGCACTTACTCAGTCTGTATTTGAACTCTTTCTTGTTGGGTTCCAGGTTGCCCATGTATGATTTCATGGCCACATGAGCAAAGGGCAGGCTGGGCGTCCCAAGATCATAATAGGCATTTCCACCTCTCCGATTCTGATTTTTCTGTCTGGGAAATAAGTTCCCCTATGCATCTTTCAGCGGGAGCTCCTAAAGATTCTGCCTGTCATGCACCTTTCCCGACCATCCCATGTTGATGTTGGTGGAACGGCCCTTGTGATCCACCAATGCCTGCTACAGCACCATGGAGAAGTACCCCTTGCAGTTTATGTACTCCTTGGCAAGGTGGTTGGGGGGACAAGATAGGGATAAGTGTTCTGTCTATTGCGCCACTGAGTTAAGGAACCCCACTACATTCGCAAAGTTCCAAAAAAGTGATCTTGCACAGTCACAAGTTTTGCAGCCAGTGCTGATCATCCCATCTCTGCATCACAATGTAGTCCCACCAGTCTGTGCTTGTCTCACGGTGCCAGCACTGTGTCCACAGGATTGACTGGCAGCTGTGCATTCATCATTACCAGGGCTTGCATGAGCAACACCTCCATGCCAAGCTGAGCTTTGGCTTCCTCCTCCTGGTGCAGTGACATGCATGTGCTCTTGAAGTAGGCACACCATGGCACACATTAGCATCAGTATTGTTTGCTGCAAACCAGGATCTATACTTACGCTGCTATGGTGGTTGTATGGGAAACCAGGGCACAAAAAGGTATGAGCACATTGCTTCCCATTGATCTCACACAAGGGGGGAGAGACTAGACAAGTGTGTTATGGGACACTGATGACATGAGCCCATAACCAGCCGCTGCAGAGTTTTGGTCCCAGTGGGCACTGGGAACATAGCTCAGAATGCAAAGTGGTCCAAGGTGCATTGCTTTCTGAATTGGCAGTAGGCTCCTTAATGGGTACATGTTACTTTGGACTATATACTATTCTTCCTTGCAGGGAGGACATGGACCTTCAACTTTGCAAAATTAGGTGCCCAGAAATTGACCATATTGGATCAACCTTACCTCATAGTGTAGGCGTGGCCTGCGATTCCACAAGAATCCTTGTTGTTTTTGTATTTGCAGATAATCTAAGCACTATATCCAGAGGTACAGACACTCTTATCTTAAGAGTGCATTATTTAAATTTTTAACATTAGCTTTAGTAAAACTTATAGTTTGGAGTATTTGGTGAGAAAGTGGTGGATTTAAAAATTTATGTTCAGTAATGTGTTCTTTAGGTGGACTGAGGACACAAATAGGATTACAGACTTTACTTCAAATGTAAACACTGAAATAAGAATGGGAAAAAGCAACAACTGCAAGTAAAGTTCTGTTGACTATTAGAGCAAGAAGACAACTTCAAAAGGAACAATCAAAACAGTCTTCTTCCTCACTTAGCATGCAGCACTTCATGGAAAACACAGGGGAGGGGAGATGCTAGTCATTTCTGTCCTTTGCAAAAATCCTGAAACCTAGCCAACCAGAACACAGTGACTGTCCAAAATCATTTGATAAAAGAGTGAGCACGAGTAATTCCTTCAAAGTAGTGAGAAGGGTTGCATTTCCAAAATGGAAATATTTCAAATAAACTTTTTTCCTGAAAA